ATCTCAGCATCCAGGGCTAGCATTAGTGTGTTTGTATGCCCATGAAAGAGGTACAGGCCTTTCCATTTTATTGACTGGGAAACTAAGTCAAAAGACATCAGCAGCCTGGCTCTGTTGCCATGGAAGTTGATAGCAAAAATCCCTTTTACAGTCACAGAAAATGAAAGGTTGAGTGAGAATTGATACATCTCAACAGAAATGCCAAATCTATTGGCTCCTAAGCTTCTACAATTAAACCCATCTTTTGTTTTGCTCCATGTTAGGCACCAGGGGTCTGTCATGATCAGCACTTTCTCTCTGCTGCATATCTGTGATGCTTCAGAAGAAAGTGTCTCTTCTATCTGTAATGAACTGGTATAGATTTCCAACCATGTACTGGAGGAAATGAAATGGAAGTGGTTTTCTTTAGTCAGTAGTATTTATCCTGGAGGGAGAATTTGCATTCCCTTTGTATTTGCAGGTATTATTTGATATGCATTATAGGTGGGAAAAGTATTAAACCTCCAAAATCACGTATGGTGTTTTGGATGCATCTTCAGTTACTAATATTTAGCAGAGGAGGTCAGACAGCACTCTGTGGAAAAATGTGCCTTCCTTGGATTAGAATGCTGTTCTTTAATGTCATAAAATTACACATTCTTCATAGATTATGGGTAAAATCAAGGGAGTGAGAAGTTATCACTTGGCAGTATCTCTTCATCAACAAGTTGTCTTCTGAGCTTAAAAGGATGCTGCTGTGTCAGAACAGATAAAATCCTTTGCTCTTTTTCCTTTTTAATCTGAGTATGGCATTGGTATGGTGCATCCAGCTGTCTGAGCAGAGAGGATTAGCCTCCTCCTGGGGCAAATTATACTGCCCAGCTGTCTGCTGCCATTGCAGAGCTGCTAAGGAGCCCAGCCAGGAGCACACATGGCAGGGTCCTGCTGCAATGAGTCCATGTATTAGATGAGGGCTCCTGGCTTTTCCAAAGATGTGGATTCCAGGATCTCAGAGAACTGGCTGTTCTGCTCTCATGGGGATTTCTGGTTGATGAGGCTCACATTTGGTAACTCTGCTCAGGCAGCCCATATGAGTGAGCCACAGATCTAATGTGGTGAGGTCAGCTTGTATTTCACTGGGCTGTGTGAATCGACCTCATTGTGGGTCAAGAGATGGGCGCGTGAACTCTGCTAACTGGGATGCTACCAAAATCCTGGGCATTGCTGGGGTCCTGGATTGTCAGTCTCTGCACCTTACCTTGGGATCTTGAAGACTGGTGCTCTGAAGCTCTCCAAACACTTGGTGGTCTGACCTCCAGTTTGAACATGGTGATTACCCACACCACACCTCCTATGTCAGTCATAAAACAGACAAATAGTAAAGAAAGAGCAATTATAATAATTGCTGGAATCTCTGTATTTCTGATTCAAATTCTTCCTATTTGTACAATTAGTTAAAATACTGTAATATAGAAAATCTGAAAGAATGATTACTAGATTTACCACAGGTAAAAGAAAAAAAATATTGAGCTGTTTGGAGAGCCATCCCCAACCAAAAAATACATGGAGGTTTAGTTGTCTGGAGAGAATCTCATAAGTGCATAAAGAGTGGTAGAAAAAACAATGAGAGGCTGTGAACAAAGCTTTCCCTCTTGCTACGGGCCATGAGTCATAAGTTTGCACAAAAATCAAAGTAGTTTTCTTTCTGTTGGCTGCAGATGGACATTCTTTAAATCAAACATCTATTCTTTCTTCCTTTTTTTTTTCTTTTTTTGAGTGCTGAGAGGGGGTGGAGAGGGGAGAAAAGGGCAAAGTAAATGATGCACTGAAAAATGTCTATTTAACTGGGAAGAAGTCCTTGAAAATTAGAAGGCAAATTTGAAAGCCGTTGATTTTAGGGAAATGATCTCTTAACCTCAGAAATATTTTCTGGCTAAATTTCATATTGTATCAGGATATGGTGAAGCGTGACTACAATACGAGTTTTCAAATAATACCTTGAATTACAGCTACAGCTGTAAAAGTGCACACTAGCATATTTTGAAAATGGCATTAGACTTTAAGCCTATTTGTTACCATTAAAGAGCAAGCTGAAACATAACAGAAGACTGTTCCCAAATCTGTTTGCAGTGAATTGCTTCTACAGTTTCCACAGACTTGTCTGTTAGGAGGAAGATTTGGGTCAGATTTAGTTATTCTCATCTTCGTAATTAGAGATATTACGAGTGATATACATGCTTACATTTGAAGCCCAAGGGACTGTTTTTCTATGTGCACAAGCCTTGCTGACCCAGATTTCCATCTTTTCAGTGCTTTCCCAATGCATGATAATAGCAAAAGGATATTCATGTCTGTTTCTGGCATGTTTGAAAATTGGGGGACTGTGGTTCATAGTGATCCAAACACAAAGGAGCTGTCAATTGGGTTTTTGCAGTAATTTCTTTTAATGCTGTGAGTAGAATGTGAAATGCCCCAACAAGAATATGGAGATTTTATGTATCAGTACCCATAAAATATGACGATTTTTTCCCACTGAAGAAGTTTCAGTAAAAAAATAAAATTAATTTTTCATGTAGAAACTGCACTAGAGGATTTTCAAGGCATCCTGTAACATTTTCTTTGCAATCATAAATTAAGAGTATGGATACCATGAAATGTTAAACTAATCTCTTGACCAAAAGTAATTGATATGTAGCGTGGGGATGACTATTATTTGTTCAGAGCTCAAAGCTGTTATATATCTAGTGATGAGAGCAAGGTGATGTAAAAGAAAAGGCAAAGCAAACAAAAAAAGAGATGAAGGCCAGTCTTCTGAAACTGACAGGAATATTGCACATCCAATACTTGAATTATGCATTATGAATACTTCATCTGATGCATTTAGCCCACACTCCCATCTTTAATTTTTGAATCAATTGCAAAACAGTCTTAGATTTAACATTATTCATCGATAACCTAAAAACACAGTATAAAAGTTATGCTACAAGCTCCTAACTTCTGTATGTTTTCACTCCTAGTAACCCCACTACCAGCGTACCCAGCCAGAATGAAAAGGAGTATGTTTTCTTATTGTGCTAAACATCCAAGTGATTACATCCACTAAGGTTTATCTCACATACAACCACTGTCCTGTGGAACATGACTGAGAAAAAGCTTTCACATAAAACTCTTCTCTGTGTTTTTGTCAGACTGCCTGTGAACAGTGCTAGACAACTACCTGACTTTCTGTGGCCTATTTCCCCTACTGTTTCATTACCTATATAAAATTGTGACAACAGAAAAGTACTCCCAGCTGTTACAAAAGTGTTCCCCATAGTTTGAAAATGGATTTTGTTGCATGAAAATGTCCTTCTACCAAGCTCTGGTCCAGAAGAAGTAATGAATCATGCCAGTGACACAGACGGGCCTGGACAAATTCAGAATGTGAATGGATGGTGCTTTGTAACTTAGAATCATTTAATGCCAGCATCACATGAATAGGCACACAGATCAGAATAGAATTATCACATCCCACATTTGTGAGGTCTGACTCCACACTTTCATAAACATAGCATAAAATAAGGCTTATTGAAATTTTCACATGGAGTTCCCAAATACTTTCCTGGAATATGACTGTCATGTTACTGTTTCACTTTTCTCTTAAGTCTCTTTGCTGTATATTGGATGAGTACCAGGTAGATAATGCTTCTCTGGCAATGCCACATTTCAAAAGAAAAAAAATCAAACTAAGTGACTTAAGTGTTCAACCTGACCATATTTTCTGTACAGTTTCTGAGTCAACCAAATATCATGGCAGAATCCGTCTTATAGCAGTTGTACTTTTTCTGGCTTACAACAGAAACCAGAAGCTCTCCCAGCTGCTCGTAGGGAATAGGACATTTCCATAGCTCATTGTCACTGTCCTTGCTGACAGTGCTGCCTTAGTCTATCTGGACCTGAGCAGGCAAGGATCCAGATGTACCCTTTAAGTCCCAAAGAAGGCAGCACAATATAAATGTATGCCTGCAGTTTTATGTGGATTTATGTGCTCTGCTGAGCTTAATTTTGCAGTAAAATGGAGTCCCTATCCCTCTTGTGCTTTTGTTGTACTCAGTAGGATTCCAGATAAGGGGGTATTGAATATGTTTTAAAATCACCATGATATTATTGAGAGAAAATGATAAGACAGAGTAATAATCATAATAAAAATCTAGTTTTTCCTTAAGCTAGCTCCATTAAAATTCAGTGGAGCTGCACAGATCTCATTTGGGACTATTATTTTCTATTAAGTTTTGATGTAGATCTAGGATTTAATACAAATACTTAAAAATTGAAGAGAAGACAATTACTACATGCCAATTCTGTGTTCTAGAAACACTTGGGTCAATTACTCTGATTTGAGTTTGCAACTAAGCACATTAAAAGCAAAAGACTACATTACAATTAATGCCATACAAAATTGTATGCACATACAAAAGACCTTGTAGTTCATTTACTTTGTAGAGGTAACAAGCAGCCATCAGATTTAATACAAACCCAAAATGTGGGTCCACTGTGGTGGACCAAACTGATAGCGTAGGACTTGTAGAGGACATGTGGTCTCTTCTCCCAGGTAAAAGTGGAAAAATGAGAAAAAACAGCCTCAAATTGCACAGGGGGAAGTTTAGATGGATGTCAGAAAATATTCCTTCTCTGGAAGGGTGATCAGGCATTGGAACAGGCTATGTAGGGAAGTGATGGAATCACCATCCTTGGAAGCATTCAAAACATGTGGGTGTGGCACTAGGTGATATAGTTTAGCGGTGAACACAGTGGTGCTGGGTTAATGTTTTGGCTCAGTGATCTTAGAGGTCTTTGGCAACCTTAATTATTCTATGTGTGTTGAATGATATTTAAGGGTCGATGACAGCAGAAATCGCCTTAGTACACATACATTTTTGTATATTATGCTTGTATTTGTTTACAATTTATGCATATACATTTACCTATATATAAACATGCAAATAATCATAGATGTATATTTTGTGTTCTTTGTCTTCAAGGATTTTACACCCGTCTGAATTTCTCCAATGAGTTCACAAGCTATGAAAGGAGAAGCGGGACAAAAAGAAAAAGATTTATTTCAATGCCCTCTGATTTCTGTGCAGTTTCTTTTCCTTGTGAATACAGTCATCAGAAAAAAATTCTGCCTGAATTCATGATACCCATTGCTGCTGACTGCAGCAAAAGCAGCTCTTCCGTGACTGCCAGCCAGAAAAAGTACAGGATGAGCTTCCTGCTCGTACCTACACGTGATCTGGAGAGATGGTAAAAGGTTTTCTATCAAATTCTCCAGTTAATTAAAACAGAGGCAGAGAGGAAAAGGTCTAACTAGTAGAGTAGCTGCACTCCCTGTGCTTCCAGCAAGCCCAGCTGCTTGTAGAGTCATGCATAAAGTCTAAACCAATTTTTCATTAACAAAATTTTCCATTCCAGCTCCACTGATGCAGAGGTTTCCACTTTCAGGCCCCTTGCTGTGTTGCAGAGCTTGTTATCAGTTATTATTCATCTGTCCTCAATTCAGTGATCAGATCTGTCTGCTGCTGCTTTAGGAGTCAGAAAATCTAGCCAAACTTACTGAGAGAAAAATATAAAGCAGGAAAACATAACCATTGCATGAAGTGCTCTTGCTGTGGGCTGCCAATCTCACCCTGGCATCATGTAGATAAGAAATAATTTTTAATCAACAAAGACAGGGCCACTGCAGATGAAGCTTGAGACAAAGAGAACAAAAAGTCTTGCTGTTCTACTCTTCAGCAGAGCTGATCTTGAACACTTCTCAGAGATACCGGCGACTGCAATGTACCATCTTATCAGAATTCCCACTAACATCCTTCATCGCTCTTCCTCACGGAGTGTGAGCAGCTAAGAAGGTGCAAATAGGAATATTAAGCTCTCTTGTTGAGGGACAGTTCCAGAGGGGAATTGTCCCAACAACTGCTAATTTCCTGGTGTGGGAAAGGTAGTGGCTCCTGATTACACTGAGAAAGAAGGAAAAACCAGACATGGGTCAGTCTTGCATGTATATATGTACTGCTTCCAACTGAGTGTGGTTCGTAGTGAATAGGAAAGCTCATTCCTCATGCAGGTAATTTCTATGCAGCTTTGTAAGGCTTGAACAAGCCTGCGTCTCCATGTCTGTTGCTTCTGCTACAAGGATTACCTTTTGTAGAAGTCAAAAGTCCTGAGGTGCAAATGGTGACAGAGTTGTGACATACAGCCACTTTTGGGAGGATGATTCCTGGCCTTGAGAACAGGGCTGTCTCTGTTCCCCTTTGTCTCCCTGGCCAGCTGTGCAAAACATGACATGTGAAACAGCATGGCTTCCAAAAGAGACAGCTGGAACACTGGGTGATAATTTAAAATAGGAGCCATCTGCAGGTGATAAGGTCTTCTTGATAGTGCGGCTGATCTGGCAGTGCCTATGCAAAGTGGAAATGTGTCCTGCATGAACTACCTCTACCTGTATGCTTTGTGGCCCAGAAGTGCAGAGATCTGGCATTAATAACAGTAAAATATGAATTTCAATTTATGTCTGGCTAAAAAAGAGAGAGAGAGAGGTAAAAGTATTCTCATGTAACTAGAAGATTAGATTAATGAAATGCAGTATATGCAATGCAATGCAATATTTCATGTTCCATCCCAGGCTCAGGGAGGCCTGGCCTCATCCAGGGCAGCCTCCCAGAGACTAGCCTGGGCCAGCCAGGGTGGGGGTATTCTAGGATGTGGGGGGACAGGACCAGCACAAGTGCTCCTGGGATGGAGTCTTCATCACTCACCTCAGCCCCAGGGCACTGGGTCTGTTTTTGACCTCACTCCTGAGCAGTGCCTGGCAGTACAAGGTAAACAGCCCTGGGGAAAGGCCAGCAGGAAGACTTGGGACTACTCACGCCTTTCCTTCAGAGCCACTGAGGTCCTCTTCAGGCAGTTGCCAAGAGCAGAGATTTGTACTAAATATCAAAAATAAAATTAATCAGGTGTAACCATACACTACTGTAGTCTGGGGGCTGACCAGCTCTGTGAAGAAGGACCTGCTGGACAACAAGCCATCCATGAGCCAGCGGTGTGCCCTGTGGCCAAGGAGGCCCCTGTATCCTGGGGTGCAGTAGGAAGAGCAGTGCCAGCAGGTCAAGGTGATCCTGCCCCTCTGCTCAGTCCTGGTGAGGCACATCTGGAGTGCTGTGTCTAGTTCTGTCCTCCCAAGGATGAGAGGGATCTGGAGCTGCTGGAGCCAGTCTAGCAGAGGACAACAAAGATGATTAAGGGACTGGAACATCTCTCTTAGCAGGGAAGGCTGAGGGAGCTGGGCCTGGTCAGCCTTGAGAAGACACAACTGAGAAGGAGCTTCATCAATGTCTATCAGTATTTGAAGGGGAGGTGCAAGAGGATGGAGCCAGGCTCTGTGCCATCTGAGCAATAGGACAGTAGGCAATGGGCAGAAATTGATGCACAAAAAGTTCCATCTGAACATGAACAAAAACTTGTTTACTGCGTGGGCAACCACACACTGGCACAGGCTGCCTGGAGAGGTTATGGAGTCTCCCTCACTGGAGATACTGAAGAGCTGTCTGGACACAATCCTGTGCCAATGTGCTCTAGGATAACCCTTCCTGAGCAGGGAGGTTGAGCCAGGTGACTCACCATGGTCCCTTCCAACCTGATCCATTCTAGGATTCTGTAAAAATTAATTCTGAGCAAGTAATGGACATAGTAAGTGTGCATTTTGCAATTTTTTTTTTTTTTTTGGCTTACCAGAAGCTACCCAAACCTGACAAGGACATCTATTTGAGGACATTGATAAGTTTTGGTATGTCAGACGCACACCAGTGATCTGTGTTGGCTCACAAATCACAATTAATCTGTCTTATAATTTAATTATTGGACTATAACTTAGAAACTTAAATCCTTATTATTTCCACATCTTGACAAACTGGTAATTTCTGGAATTCTTAGATGGAAAAGGTAATTGTAATTAGCGAAGCCAGGATATGTTCAAAGAAGAAAAGCAGGAACGACTGGGGAGATGGCATGGCTGCATTAATGGCTAGCAACTGAACCTGAAAATAGTGAGCACAAACCTCCAAAGCAACCCCTCATCATATATGTACCCATGTCTAAATTCTACAGAAAGCCTGAGCACTTGGCTCAGCACCCTTCATTTTGAATGTATAAAGAAACTTCCAACAGAGTTCAGATGCACAGCCTGAAGTGCCTTGTCATGAGGAGCTGAGCAGAAAAACCAAGGCAAAGGCTCCTGTATGTGGGAGGTAGATATGAAAGTAAATCTCTGCTGTTTTCAGCCAAGGGAGAGCTGGGTACCTGCCACTTTGCAAACCCACAGATTTCTGAGATTATCCTCTGATGAGCAGACGTGTTCTTTAAATAGCATGCTGCAAATTAACAGTTCTCAGAAACTCCTCTGACAAAGTTTCTTCCTTAACCCTTAAGGTGCTGACTTAATGGAGTGATAGAAAAGGTAGGGCCTGATACAATGATTACCAGTAGGGGTAATAACCTCATGTGGCAAGGTAAGAGTGGGGGATACCATGCTTGCCATGTGGGAGGCAGTGGAGAGATTAGAATTTTAGCTCAGAAGCATCTGATTAGAACTATTTTCTCCTTTTCAAGGCAACTTTCAAGGTGTTTTACATTCTGTTTGCTGTTCCAAATGATGATAAACACAAAATATATTTGTGAAATAAAAATCAGGGCTGACTCTTGGTTGTTCCTCCTCTTTGTCACAATGAATTCATTGAAATGTTAAAGCAAAAAAGAGGACTTAGTTATACAATTCACAGAATCTCGCATAAGTTGACAAGTTTGTTTTCACTACCTCTTTTGAAATTTTAAATTTTTCAGAATGGGCTTTTTCTGGCAAACATGAACTAGTGTTTCCTTATGAAAAAATGTTTCATTGAAAACTCACTGATACAGTGATACAATGGAGAGGAGGCTAAAACTGCCAAATCTGATTTATTAAAATGGAAACATTTTGTATTTTTGCAAACCAAAGCACACTTGTTTCTTCCAGAGAAAAAAACAAGACCTCTGCAACTAAATCAAGTGTAATTCCATGTATTTCAATGAAGCAATGTGAATAATGCTGGCAGCAAATCTTGTCCCTTGTTTCTAAAGCAGAATTTCCTTTCACAAATAGTTTGAAGCCTGGCTCTGCTAATATATCATTCATGTCTCCTTACACTTTTTCTGCACCAATCACTATTAGAAACTGTTGTCTTGAACCATAATAATCATGTACTTCATCCCAACATTGCTGCTGATTCTTCTCACTCTGTTGTATAATATTACCACTTTCTTTAAACAAAACACCATTTAGACTTTTTACAAAAATTCCATGGGTGCTTACTCTGAAGAAGATCCCTGCACCACTTTTTGCAGTGTTGCCACAATACTTTTCATTTACAGTTAAGTTACTTTTAAGTTAAGGATTTCTCTTTTATTCTTTTCACTTCCTCCCATTTTAGTTGTTCACTTGAGTGACTGTAGGTGAGACTGCCTTTGTTAATTTTTTCTCTGTGATCATCTCATGGATAACTTTCCAATGTCAGTTTCTCACAGACTGCCACTAGTCCATAATCTACAAGACAAGAGTCACTGTTGTACAATGCTGAAACACAATTATTCTTATTCCCTGTGGAATTTATTTTCTGTATTCTCTCTTTCATCAGATTTTTCTTCATAACAGTAAAGCACCTAAGTCCAAGGTGTTTTACCAGTGCTGTTCCACTGAGTTTTGGAGGATTTTACTGGCACAAGTGGCAGTGGAATGCTGTCCCTAATTAAAAGAGATATGTAAGTATTCTCATGGAAAGGCAAGCAGATGAAAAGCTGCTGTCAAATAAGGTGTGTTGTCGAAAGTCTGAGCTGTGGCAATAAAATTTGTTCTTCCAAAGCTGTTTCCTTAATTGTTTCCCATGTTCAAAAACATATGATATCAGCTGAAAAATAATATAAAAATAACAATTATCATATGAATAAAATACTTTGACAAAGGAATACCTTCTTGTAGCATGGCCATAGCATATTGCTAAGAACAACAGAACGGGACTTCATGAAAGATTTCTTTGGCAATTGGATTGTCATAACCTCTGAGGACGTCTTGAGTCTGTAGGCTTCAGGATGCTTTTGAGAAATGTAATTCAGGGCTGCAGGCTGTGAAGGTGAAATGGAGCAGAAGTTAGAAGAGTCTTTTGCCCAGTTGCATTTCAGTCCAGGTACCAAAGACTACTCTAACTCTGTTACCCTGCTCCTTGGAAAACTGGTCCCTAAAAAAGAAAATAGGAAGTGAGGATTTCTGAGAAGCTTGCAAATCTTTTGTTATGGTACTTAGTAGGGTGCTGGTGGAATCTAGAGCCTTTGTTCCTCTGAATATGTGATGGACATGGATATAGATGTGGATATGGATCTTGCTCCATTCTTCATAACACTGTTGGATTTCAACTCAACTTTTGGTCTCTTTTGTGCTAGCTTTGGTGACCAGTATCTCTTGCTATGACAATCACTATCTGCTGGCATTTTTCCACCACATTCCTTAATAGGAAACTTTCTTTATGCTATTTTCTCTGCCTTTTAAATATAAGAGGAAATTCAGTTTGCAATAGGTGTGCACTGGGGAGCTCTAAGACAGTCACGGTTAGCATCTGAAATAAAAAGAATCTGAAGGAGAAAACCAGGCAAAAAATGGAAAACAAGAATTCTAAACTTACTGTATTTAGCATCAGTAGTACTGCAGCTGCAAATATCCTCAAGTGTACACTAGAAATCTTGGGACATTGACTTACAAATGCATAATTCATACCCATTCTTGTAAATGGAACTCACTGTAATATTTGCATATTAATATTCACAAATCTCATCACAGCTCCAGTCTATTGAAAATGGCTAGCTCTCTAGAAGAAAAACTAGATGATATTTCTATGTAAATATTTATTCCAAGATGTATATCCTTTATATAGAAACAATCAGAAAAAGACAGCATTTAGTAAATTCACTAATAACAAAACCAGCAGAAGCAAAGGGTTTGTCTTTTCCAGTAAAATCAGAGTCCCAAGATCAGGACCTTTATTTGGTATACCTATCCAATATACAGTGTTAGTGGTTGTTAACAGCAAAGTGTACATTGATATTATCCCGCTCTTACTCAAAAAACCCCACTCATTCAACACAACATATAGAAAATATCCTGCAGTTCAATGGTGCTGACGTATAACTTTGCCATAAACTATATTAAATATGCACCATCAGGGTTTCAAAGACCCACTTCACTGCATTATCCTACAGTGCCTAGAGAAAAACATGGACCCTTGTACCCATCTCCCTGGGAATGCAGGGTAATGATGTTCTTGAAGGAGATGACACAGTGGCTGTCAATTTGTCCTTAATCTCAGGTTTCAGCTGCCCCTTTGTCTTGGTAAGGCCAGAGCCAATAGGAGTCAATCAATTCCAGCATTAGCCTCCACCAGACCTCTTGTAAATTACCCTTCAAACTAGCACAGAGAAATATGATCATCTATCATAATGTTCCTTAGTTTGAATGTAGAAGACTTCAGAAAATTAATTTAGTAAGGTACTGAAGATAGAACAGAGAAACTTTAGGTGGCAATAAGTTTCATTTTAATTAATAGCACAAACTCATCTCAGTAACATGAAACACTGTCTAAGCTCATTTCTTTGCCTGTTGATCTTCATCAAATTCCCAAATGAGCCATTTGGAATAGATACATTTTTTGATAGAAAGCCCCTGTTTTATTTATATTTTTCATAACTCACAGCCATGTTGGATGGGGCTTTGAGCACCATGGGCTAGTGGAAGGTGTCCCTGCCCATGGCAGGGTTGTTGGAACTAGATGTTAAGAAGACCTTGGGAGATTTTGTTGTGAAAATCTTATTCTTTCGATAACAATCATGACCGACAAACACAAAACTCCTTCACTTGCTTGTAGATTGCAATCTCCTGTTTTTTCTTAGGCTTTACCTATCCTACACAATAGACCCTTATTTTAAAGACTGATTTTTTTTTAATTGCAAAGGGCTGTACAAACTGAACGATAAACTATCTAAAACATTTTGCAAGCAAGTGTAAAGCACCTCTGCCATGTACTCCAGTTGTAAGATGAGAATGCCAAAGATCCTAAATTCAAGTTCACTTGAAATCTGTATCCTTTGTCTGCAGCAGTTTCAGCTCTTTGGCTGTAATTATACCGCTTTTTTCTTTAAAGATACTTCATTGTTTCATTTGTGTATGCCACTTTGTATTGTGTTAAAGAGAAGAAAGCCAAGTTACACATAAAATCTACAGTGATTAGTTTTGAACATGAGACACGTGTTCAAAAACAAAGTGCACACAGCTGTAATAACAGCATGTATTGTTTTATTGTTTGACTTCCATGAGCAGCTGCCTCAGTAACCTGAAATTCATGCCCCATTACTCCCATTTAGTATGATATTATGGTGGTTTTGATGCATCTTTTTCTCAGGATGGCCACGGAAAACAAATAAAGCAAATGAGTCCTTTACATGCTTAAGAGAATTCCACATAAATAAAACACAGAGCAGTCTCTGTACTTCAGTCTCTGTACTTCATTAAAGTTAACAAACATGCTTATCTGTGGGAAAAAAAAAAAGAGACTAGAAAAAGAGTCAAGCAGAGAAAAAGAGAAAAATGTTGCCACAGAATCTTAACACACATGCAGGGAAAAGTCACCTTGCTTTAGCCTCTCTAGCTTTCTTTTCGTCTTTCCTGCTCTAAAATTAGACACATCCATTTCAAAGGAGCCATCTGGGCAATCCTAAGGAAAGCAAGAGAGACTGGACCTGACATTCTCTGAAACTCAGTCAACCAGAGGAAAAGTATTTTCTTTCTCCTTCTCTTTCTGATTTGAGAAATAAAGCAAAGAGAGTCAAGAGAAACTCCTATTGTGAAGCATAATAGGGAATGTCATTGCAGCTTTTCCTGAGATGATTCAAGAAGCTTTTTCTACCAGCATGCATCTGCATTTGCTTTATAACAGAGAGTAGCAGCCAGTAGGTTGAATGCCTAACATAAGTCTGTGATTCAGCAAACAACCTCCATTCAGAAAAAATACTGAAGCTCAAACTCTGCTATATTTATGGTTTCTCTGTTAGGTGTACTCTCACCTCTAGTATGTGAGCAGTTTTGGGCATGACAATATAAGAAAGCTTTTAGAAAGCATCCAAAGAAGGGTCACATAGTGAAGAGTCTCTTGAGGGGAAGCCGTACGAGCTGCTGCCGAGGTCACTTGGTCTGTTCATCTTGGAGAAAGGGAGACTTAGGGGAGACCTCATTGCAGTCAATAACTTCCTCATGGGTTTGCTTATGTTTATATTTTTCTCAATTTCTCCTCTTTTTTTGTCTTTTAGTTGTTCATATTAGGAATAAAATATTTTTATTTGAACCTTTCACATTTTAAAATATTTCCCATAATTTTTTCTACAAATATTTCAAGAAGTTCCCTTCCAGCATCAACAACCATCATTACCCATGAATCCCAAATCCCTAATTCTCCCTCTCCCCTCCCCTCCCCCCTTTTACTTTGAGTATCATTCCTCACGTCTAACCCATGTAATTTTAACTGTACTCATCATCTCTTTCTGATCTGCTTGTGCTGGCTCCTCCATTTCTTTCTCCACTGGAGCAGCAGCTGGGCTTAGAGACTGTCAGTGACTTTGATTTTTTTATTGTGCCAATGTACACTATTTCCTGCTTATCCAAGATAAATCTAATCTGCCACCATGCTGCCTAGAGCTCCAATGACTTTAAGTACATCTGGGGAATTTCACAGTCCTCTGCAGGCTGTTATTAGCTGAAATGACTTCACCTTTATCAGTTCTCAATAACTTGTTGTCTACTTATTTTACTGGCTTAGTTACAAGTTAAAAAAACTTTCGTACCAATATTGACCTCTTGGACACTTAGGTATTGATCAAGCTTCAATTGAGCTTTCAATCTGAGAAACATTCATTCTGTAGGTTCTTAAACTTTAACATACTACCAGATTTCCAATATTATATAGCCTTCTGATACTAGTGGTATTTTTATTTTAAATCTATACCATTATTTCTTTTAGGAATTGAAATACTAATTGTCTAAAAAGTCCTGAGCCAGTGCTATTTGTATGTAGTTTTTACCTAGTTAGAGAAAAAAAACCAGTAAAAAGCATGGTATAGAACAAAATACTGTCTTTATTAGACAGTATAATCCTGCTTTATTTAGCAAGATTACCTATTTTTTTTCCTTATTTCTTAGCAGTTTGAATTGTAAGATCAATAAGTATTTTAAGACGGAAATAAAATAAAAGCCATTCCAGTTCACTGATGTGAAAACTGCTACATGCTGTACCTAAAACTGTAGAGTTAGGGATAGAGCTCGAGCCTTCCAAATTCTCGTTGTGTCTCCACTGAGGTGTGCTGCCTCTTGTGCTGGCACATCACTGCTCTCCCACTTACATCACTGCTTTCCCACTTACAGAACCTTGGCTGCTGTGAGGTATAACTTCTCATTAATGCCTCTGATCCCTTTGTGGTACTGAGCACCCAAAGGTGGTGTAGAGAAATGGAGGGGTGCACCCAAAGGAAAGGTAACTGATGTGTTAGCTTGGAAGGCACTCAGCTCCTGAAAAAAGTGGTTTGCTTCTTTTTTTTTTTTTTTCATTAGGGAAAAAAATAAGAATCAAAATGAAGTAATTTTATTTAACTCTGGGTAATAATTTGATTTGGTATAACTGGGAAAGAAAATGAAATTAGCTGGATAGGTAGAATGGATTTGTAAATGAATAAATAGTATTTGGAAACAAAACTGCAATGCACACAAAATGAAAGATTCCATTTTCTTTTATTTCAAAATATTTCTCATAATTGAATGTTTTGCAAATA